GTGGAAAGTAAAAAATATTTTCCTACTTCCCCGCAAAATGTGACCTATCAAACACGGCCTAAGTCTAATTTTTTTTCTCATCATGAAGAAGAAAATGAGATTTTTATTCTTGAGCCTATTGAATATTCTGATAGTTGGATCATAGTTTTTAGATAATTGTCTTGTATCCCCTCTCAAACTTGTCTTCCGCATGATTGACCGAAACACAATTGAAGATTACCTTTGACGTTGCCTCCTAAGTCAGACATTCTCATATCCTCGGCAGCATGTCGGAATTTTTATTGCCTCCTCCTATATGTGAATTTACGAATAACTTTATTCTAACGTTATCTCAATTGCCTAATATTCATTGCCATATTTTTTTCAAGGCATTGTTCGATCACGTACTTTTCTTATTGACCATTGGTTATTGCATACTAATTATCGTTATATTATTTTAGTTCCATCAATCAGAGTTTGAGTGACGTTTAATGTTTTTGATAAGTAGCCATCTTAGAGCCTAGGTCTACTTTTGAGAAGTAGGTTGATAAGATGATCGTATAGGCGTCTACTTTAGAGATATTACATTAATCAATCGTAGGAAGGTTGTGTACGAAATATTTCTTGGAAGAGGTAAGGTAGAAAGTTTTTTCTTCTAACAAAGAGGCAAATTGTATCAGGTCACTTTCATAGCAAGTTATATTACATGGTTTAGGCCATGGAAAGTCGATCTCTACAGGCACCTCGACTGAAATGATGCAAAAATTCGACTACATTAATATATGGCCTCGGCATGATTAGGTAGGACAGTGATGTGGAGTGTGAGCTTGCTAGTTGGTTGTCACGTGACATTCTCTGGGGCTTCATTAGAAGAGGCATAACAAAATATTTTTAAAAAATTTCATTTTTACATTTTTATTTTTTAGCATATCACACAAACAAACAAATAATAACACACCAACTAACTAAGATACATTTAAAAACTAAAAATACACATTATCCTCGATATTTGCACAAAATAGGCTCACAAAGTTAGCAACGCTCATCGTGTATATGAGATGTCTCAATATAGTGGTTGGTCTTTTATCTTTGTCCTTTTTTGCTCATTTTGTAAAATTATTAAATTACACGTAAAAAGAGAGGAAAATTAAATAGCACTATGATTGTTGCGCCTCGCCATCGAGGCTCCACACCAGGCAAATGAGGCCCCTCTTCGAAGTGCCGAAGCCATAATATTGAAGCCATCTAGCCGAAATGGCAGTGGTTCAGAAGTTCAATCTGAAGCTCAACCATGGAATGGAATGACCCACTTCCTTTGAAGATTTATTGATAAAATCTTATTCGAATGATTGATGTGATCCCATGTAATAAGTAATATGTCAAAATCTTGTCAGCATAGGTCGTTGGGTGGCTAGGCATGTCAAAGTGGCTCGCTGGCTCGGGCAACCCGTGGCTAGGCCCGAGAAAATCCCGAGTCGATGCACGGGTCGAACCCCATTTTGGGGTATCGGCTCGAGCCCGAGCCACACGTGCTATTTTCGACCCAGCCGAACCGAGCCGAGTTTCATTAAAAAAATATTTAAAACAAAAATTAGGCAACATTAAAATTTTTTAAAAAAATATAGTTGCTTGCATTCAACTATGACTCATGCAGCTATGCATACAATATATATGAAAAAAGAAAAAAAAAAAGAAGAAGAAGAATGAGCCGGCTCAGTTCGGGCTCGGCTGCTAAGGCTCGAGCCAAAAGCTCGGATCGAGCTTCAATTTTTTTTCCGAGCTTTTGCTCGACTTGGACAAAAAAAACCCCGAACCACTTTTGCTCAAGTTTCAAGTTTCGGCACATTGACATCCCTATGGGTGGCCCCGCCCCGCCCCGCCCCGCCCCGCCCCTCTCCTCTTGAGAGCATTTAATACGCTACAAGTTATTAAAGTCAAATTGATGTCTAAGATAGGATGCTTCGATTAAGGAGATGAAAACACACGCCTCATCATCCAATAGATACAATTTTATATGTAACACTATAAATACCTCCTCATGTATCATTTGAAAGGTATTCAACTATATTTTGTTTGAAACTATAATTCATCTCCACCTTGTTTTTATAACTCATATTGTTCGAGTTGAATGCTTGGGTTTTAGATTTTGATTTATGTATTGTTGATTGCTTCTTATCATGCAATCCATTTCATATATGTTCTCGGCGACCGAACATCTTTGTCTCGCGTTATAAAGCCTCTCCAACGCTCAAATCAAAGCAGTTGTGGACTAGTAATCCGCCCAAACGTGTTGGAATTAGCTGTGCTCGATATCTGTTGTCCACGTGTGTATACGAAATCGAGGTCAACAATAATTAAACGAGATTTAAAGCTAATCCTATATTGATTGATAATGTGGGATGAGGAGAAATTTGGCATAATTGTGATGCTAGGAATACTACCCTAAATATTTAATTTCATTAAAAAACATAAACTAGATGATATTTAAGTGTGCCTAAGTATTACATTAAACATAATAAATAAAAGGTTATTTAAGAGTTCTAGCCCGACTTTTTTGCAAAAGTGTGTCTGACACTTTGAATATGACTTTTGAGGTCTTGCTTAGTTTGTATAAGTTAACTTTGTACCAAACTTTGTATTGTAAGTTTTTTAGTAGATTTTGATAGAAGTTAATGAAATATGTGGTTGAAAAATTATGGATCTTATGAAATATGTGATTGAAATCAATTATTGAATTTGACTTAAATTTTATTATAATTTTTTAAAAAGAAATCCAGTATAAATTGAGAAAAACATTTAAAAAAATAAAATACATTATCTGCAAGGCAGTTGAATCAATTTCTCTCTCTCTCTCTAGCTTATGAGGCTTGTTCCTCTCTCTATTTCTTACCATATTAGAACACCCAACAGTTGATTACAGGTGGGATTCTATTTTTTTTTAAAGCCAATCTCCTCTTTCTCATATACTTCCTTACTTCTACTCCATATTGGCTTTGGATATCCTTCCTTTTACATTGCCTCTATATAAATTGACATTAGTGATCTAGTATCGCAATACCTCTGAGTTGGTGTTTGTATGCAATAGGAGATTCTGCTGCGAATTCTTTGTTTCATCTTGCTACAACTACAGGTCAGATTTTCCCATTAAACCCATCCTTTTTCACCCTTTTCTTGGAACGTTCTTTTTCGTTTTTTATTGAACGTATATTGAAGTTGGGTT